CTGGTATATTCGTGGTTGAAGAATGGCTTGATCATGCAAAATCCCCCGTGAATCCGCTACATCCCGTCAGAACCGGCTTCACACTGGGCTTTCAGAGATAGTTCGGCTTAGGGGTCAGACCTCTCAGCTCTTAGTCTGGGCGCGGCTAGGAAGGGATAAATCGTCCCGGAGCGTTCCAGAACGCTCTCGGAGCGTTCTGGAGCGCTCTGGGGAGACCGTGGCGCCCCAGAACCGCCGAATCTCAGAGGCCCCGGTTTATCTTGGTCCGTTTTTGTTGTTGTCTTGGCCTCGTCTGATCTCATCGTCGTTGGCCTGGCCCCCCGTCGGACTACTCGTAGTCAAAGACTGGCCCGATCATTGCGAATCCCGCTTAATCCGGCCTGATTTCGGGCTCAATTTTGGTTGATCCGGTACGTGGCTGTTCTTGAAAGACCCTGGGGGTAACACGTGTTACACCCGCGGACCCCCCATGACGGTAACCTTGCAAACCGGCCGAAATTTGAATCTTTCTGTAGTTTCCAAAGGACAATGTAAAGGGTACACACGCGTTCGGGCGCACGCAGGCATCGACGGGCACGCAGTGCCAGGCTGTGGTGCACGCAGGCACTGTGGCGTGCGCGTGCGCTGCGGTGCACATGGCTGCTGTGGTGCACAGGCGATTTACGTGCTGGTGGCGAGGACCCACCTTGGCGAGTGCACGCCGCGGCCGCCGTTACCGTTACCCCCTCCTGACCGCGCCACCCCCCTCCCCGGGGTCAACACGTGTTACCCCCAGCAGTCAGGTTGCCCTTCATCGGGCTTTTTTGACCCGATGCAAATCGACCGCGCTCGCGCTCTTACATCGAAAAAGATGCGGAATGAAAACTCGTGGGTGGAATGCATGGTGGCGATGGTGCTTCACCATTGCTATCCGGTTCTTTTTGCCAGTCAGGGGGCGAGTGCTGCATCTTGTTCGGAAGTCCGCTTCTCCTGAACAAATGACCGTTCTCTCTTGTGTCTTCTGCGTGGTCGGCTTTTGATCAGAACTCTCAATTCTTTCACATGCTGTCGTTTGTTACTCCACTCGAGGCGTGTGGGCTTACCAGTTCGTTTCGAGTCTCGGGGGGGAACGGCATCGCCATCCAAAGGGCGCGCTCGAAGTAGACGGTTCGCGAGGCCCGCGGTGGAATAGAAATCTCCGTACGCCGTCAGTTTCCTCTCTGACCACTAATTTTTTCTCCAACCCTCGACAAAACTAACCTCTAAAATGGTTGACGCCCAACTTCAATGTCGCCCCCATTGACCCCTTCAATGTCGACCCTCTTCTTTGTGTCGACGCAGAGCGAAGCGTGGTCGTAGCGGGTGTGACTCGTAAGCTCCACGATGACCGACATGGGAGTCGAGACGCCAACCAGTACTTGGCGTGCATTGCCACCCAGAGCCGGAACATCACATCGACAAGGAAATCGTGTAACACATTTTCCCCCAGTAGCGTTTCGCTCCAGAGTCCCGATAGGGGGACGGAGGACCACAGAAGAGCCACAGGGGGGGCGAGGAGCTTTGGGCTGCCCCTTTGGCAGCCGCTTCCTCGGCAGCAAACCATGGGAGCTTGGTACACCCTCTTGATATATGTCTTTGTCGTCGACCAGCGTCGATGAGCGTCTGGGAATGGATGAGATAGCGCCGAATTAGCGTCGATTTAGCGTCGATGAGCGTCGATTTAGCGGCGACCAGCGTCGATTCGCAAGAGCTGACAAGATGGTATGGGAGGCTCCCATGAGTTGCCACCGAACGGTTCGCCTAAAACGTCCTCGCGATGTGTTCAGGAATCGTGCTCTCGCTCCAATGCTGGCTACATTTTTGGTACGGACGGCCGCGATACTTTGTATAATTTCACTGAGTGGCCGTAGGAACATATAGGAATGCACGTTTTCACTCGCCGACCACCTACTCCTTGACCCGCCTCTTAACCTTTGCTGCTATTAGGGTGCCTCACTGGGGTGACAGTGGCTCATTTTGTCGAGGGTACTACGGAGACCTCTCAGAAGCCACTGGAGGCAACAAAACCTCTGAAGGCAACACTTTTGTAAGGCAGCACGTTCTCGAGTGCAGAATGGTCTGCAGAGAAGATCTGCTGCATGCAGAGAGACGCGTTGCCTTCAGTGCACTCCTGCCCTCAGAATTCGCTTTGCCCCCCAAGGAGCGGTGCACCGCAGGCCCCTGCGGCCCAGGCGGCCGCCCATCCCTCGCGGCGCGAGCGCGCCGCACCCCCGATGGCCGCCGCGGCGCCGCAGCGGCGCGGCTCGGGGCTCGATCCGCGCGTCGCCTGGCGCGCCGGCACGCTGGCGCGGGCGGTGCTCGAAGAAGAGAACTCCGTGTAGGACGTGTGTTTGGCTGAAGATCGGCTACAATCAACCCGCATGGTAAGGATGGGCAACCTTCCGAAGGGTACCCATGCATCCTTGCCTCCTCGGTCCATCCTTGGCCACTTTTGCTGGCGGCGCCCCGCCCGCGAAGTGTCGGCATGGCCTTCCCAGGCCCTTGCGTCTTTATCGCGCGTCCTTACGATACGGGTCGACTGTGCAGAATTGATGTGCCCAAAATTGATTCTTCGCCCTCGAATCTGTGAAAACCTTGCGAAGAGTGCTCCCTACAGGTCTACGGAACCTGCTAAGTTCTGTTTTGGGAGGGGGAGCGCGTACGAAAAGTAAGTTCTGCTTGGGGTAAATCAGTTGCACCGTCGATCGCCTACCATTTCACAGTCGACCTCCCCTACTCGACTGTGAAGCGTCCCAGGAAGCGCCGCGTCTGCGAGGCACCAGGGAGTTGGCAGCTCTTCCTCGGCGGCGGGCGGTGGAAGGGCGGCGCGAGGGCGGCGGAAGGGGCACGAGACTGCCCCCGCCAGCGGACGGGACGGCCGGCGGGAGGAAGGCGTGCGCCCCGGTGAGGCAGCAATCTGAAGGGGCTCCGGGGCTTCTGGGGCCCGCCAGTTGTATACAAGTGTATCCAAGTGGCGGGGCGCCTCTCGAGGCGTCCTCGATCCTCGACCCAGGATCAGAGGCGACGACAGGGGCGAATAGCCCAGGGGAGAGCAATACATGTATCCAGGGGCGCCGATGATCTATGTCTTCGACAAGGCTCCCGGGCTAATAATTACGTGTAATGCCTGCCCCTGGCCTATTCGCCCCTATCGTCGCCGCCGATCTATCCTCGACCCAGGACGGGATGCTGGTCGGGGCCCTCCAGAGTTTTTCCGGGTCGCGACCGACGAGACCGGACGGTCGCGACCGCTTGGGAGTGTCGAACGGCCTCCAAGACGGCTTTGAAGCGCTCCAAGACGGCCCCAAGATTGTGGCATGTGCGCGTTTTGCTCACAGTGCAGCAACGACCCAGGAGTAGTATGGTGCATAGTTCTTCGGCTCTCAGGGCAGCGGGCACGATCGAGGTGGGTACGGAAAGAGTGGGTACGGAGACCGACTGAATTTTGAGCAGGATTCGCCGTCTGTGTCGCCGCGGACGTTGTCCGCATAAGGCCGCCTACGACAAGGACCGCTGTCAGTTTCGGATAGCATTTGTTGTTGGGCATCGTGCCCATTCTTTCCGTACCCATTTTGGGCGTTCGGAAAAAATCTGCGGACGACATGTGTGCACCGTACCGCGGTGGCGCTTCGCTGGGCGTCGCCGACCCTCAGTCCATGAACGGTGCGGTGCATTGGTTGTCGGCCTTCCGAGCCGAAACAAAAACACATGCACCGTACAGTGCCGTTTTTAATACATAATCCGCGTGCGGATCATGTATAAAAAATGAAGGGTTTAGCATTAAAAACAACGATCAGCTCATGCATACAATTATTCATACATGAATCATGTATTACACATCCGATATTCTTAACAATCCGATGTCTTAAAAACTGCCCTGTGCCGCGCTGGAGCGGGGCCTGCAGCGAGTCCAGGCATAACAGGGTGCACGGGCGCCGGTCTCGTGAGTCCAACTGCAGCATCGCCATTTCTCGGAGGGCCGCGCGGACTTCTCGGATCGGCGCTGCCCCATGCCGCATCTTCGCAGTGCTGGGCCTCCGGGGAGGCCTTCGTCGCCACGGCTGGAGTCGCCTCGAACTCCTGGTCGGGACGCAGCCCGGGAGAGGTCTGGGGATCACCGGGGACAGAGAAGCCCTAACCCGAACAGAACGATGAGGACGTGGCCTCACCTAGGCTATCGCTATCGCTATCGCTATCGGCTCGATGTCCAGTTGGACGCAGCCGTCCTCCTCACCTAGGCCCCCGTCTCCGCAGCAGGGACGGTACGTCTGGGGGCGGTTTGAGCTGAGACGCCTGCAGAGAAGGCCCTGGCCCTCGAATCTTCCACCCTCCCCAGAAGGATTCGAGGTGTTGGCTATTGCTCACCAGGAGGAGGAGGAGGGGGAGGAGGAGGAGGAGGAGGAGGAGGAGGAGGAGGAGGAGGAGGAGGAGGAGGAGGGGGAGGAGGGCCTCGAGATTCGAGGCCCTCCCTCGAATCTTCCACCCTCCCCACGCTTCAGGTCCCTCCCCAGAAGGATTCGAGGTGTTGGCTATTGCCCACCAGGGGAGAGGCGGCCCGCGAGGAAGACGCAGCGGCACAAGCCTCAGCGAGATCGGAGGTCCGCGCGGATCTCTCGGATCGGCGCTCGGCCTCCTCGGGCGGCGCCTCCAGCGCCACCCCCTGGCGCGTTCCGCGCGCCACGAAGGGGGGGGGGTTGCCAGCGGCGATCCCAGAAGCCGGGCGGACCTGCGAGAAGAGCACCTTGGGACCGGGTGATAAGATCGAGGTCGGTTCGGGGAAGACGACTGCCCTACTGCTCTTGGTGTGCTCCGGAGGTTCCTGTGCCTCCTGGGGGGGGAATCCTTGGACGTTCTGTCTGTTTTGGCCGGCGGTGGGTCTCACGTTCCTGAGAGACGTTTTTCTGGCCCAGGTCCGATTGTAATATGCATGACATGTTGTGGCTCCTCCAGGCGCGGCGGCGCGGCGGCGCGGCGGCGGCGAGATGGCCGATGCGCCAGCGGAGCGGGAGGCAGCCGACGCTAGGCTTCAGGCGCCGTCGTGAAGTAGGAGGAGGAGGAGGAGGAGGAGGAGGAGGAGGAGGAGGAGGAGGAGGAGGAGGGGGTGTTCGCGAGCGGCGAGCGCATCCGTTCGCGGGCGATGTTTCTTTCCAAGCCCCGGGTCACGCCCGAGAAGTTGGGCCGTTCAGAAATAAGGGGGGAGCTCTCGGAGAAGTCCCCAGGGGGCCCAGGGGGCTAAACTATTCGGACGCACCCCCATCGAGGAAGGACGCCCCCCCCCCATCGTATATCCCCGAGTCGGGCCCAAGATTTCGCGTCCAATCGAAAACCCCACTGAGTCTTGGATTGAGGTCGTCGTGCTCCCCCTGAGAGCAATATCCACGCCCCCGCGGTATGGTTTCCGGCGCGCGATCCCGCGAACACGCGGTGGCACGGATACGTTCCGCGCGGGGCATATGCGAAACAACGCCGTGTGTCCGCGGGATCGCGGCCCAGGGGCCCGGCCCGCGCGGCCGCGGATCGGAGGTCGGGGGTGAGATCGCAGTGAAACGGAGACCCCCAAAGCGGGAAATCGTTGCGTTTCGTTCGTGTCGTGCGTGCGGGCGAGGCGAAGCTGCGTGGGCGCGCGAGAGGAACGAACCCGCCGTTTCTAGGGCGACGTCGAGGCAAATGATTCTCCCCCTCCAGCCCGTCCGGCGGTGGCCCGCGGTGTCCCGCGATGTCCCGCGATGACCCGTGGTGTCCCGTGGTGTCCGCCGTTGCTAGGGCGAAGTCAAGACAACTGATTCTCCTCCGCCTGCCCGTCCGTCCGTCCGTCCCGCGGTGGCTCGCGGTGTCCCGCGGTGTCCTGTGGTGTCCCGTGGTGTCCCGTTGAGTGAGATCGATAGTGAGATCGATACTGAGATCGATGTGGTTCCCCAAGGTGTCCCGTGGTGTTCCAAAAAGTGAGATCGATAGTGAGATCGACAGGTGTCCCGTGGTGTCCCGTGGTGTTCCGTTGAGTGAGATCGATCGTGAGATCGATAGTGAGATCAATAGTGAGATCGATGTGGTGTCCCGAGGTGTTCCGTGGTGTCCTATGGTGTCCCGTTGAGTGAGATTAATAGTGAGACCGATAGTGAGATCGACAAGTGTCCCGTGGTGTCCCGTGGTGTCCCGTTGAGTGAGATCGATTGAGTCAGATGTTGGTTCCCCCCCTCTCCCCCCCACGCAACCTCCTTATCACCCGAAGGGTGGCCGTATAGGTACGAGTAGTTGTTTCCCTTACGAGGTGTCCCGGTTGGATACAGGTCCTGGGGCCATGTTGCCCCGTCCCGTTATGGGCTTCCCTGGGCCGTGGACGGTGCACCGTACTGCGTTGGCGTCCCCCGAGGCGTCTTCGATCTTTGACATAATTAATGGTGTGCACAGTTTTTCAGCCTTCTGTCAAGGGCATAAAAAACGCCCCCACCCTGGTTTGCGAGGCGCTGTGCGCTGAACCTCCTGTGGGCTCACAGGGTAAGCCTTGCGTATCGCGCTTGCCGCACGGCGTCCTGGCGGCCCTCTGGCCTGTGGGAGCTCCCAGGAGGTTTGTTGACCAGGCACTTGTAACCCAGGGTAGGGGCGTCTTTTCATTCCTCAAGTCTGAGCCGAAAAGCTACACACCGTGCCGCGTTGGGGTGGGGCCGGGAGGGGGGCCCAAGCATGGCACGGTGCGCGGGCGCCGTTCTCGCACCCGCAGGATCCCGGGGGCCTCGGGGAGAGCTGCTGCCGGGGGGAGGCCCCGCGGCCCAGGGCCAGCTTCCCTCGGGGCCCGCTCCCTTCACGGTGCAGGTCATCGAGGGCAGAGGAGCCCCTGGCCCTGATGGCATAGTGAAGACGTGGCGTCACTCGGGCCCCCGTCTCTGCACCAGGGGTAATAGCTCCGGGCGGCTTGGTTTGGCACATCTGCGGAAACAAAAAGAGACCCCCCTCTATATCCCTCGCGTGCTTGGCCCTCCTGGCTCAGGCTTCCTCCCACAGGGTCCGGGGCCCTTTTTTTATCGCGAGCCCACAGGTGCCGATGCTCTTCTCTGGAGGCATCCTGGTCCTCACCGTCGCTGGCAAGGCTCGGCTGCACGTGGCAGTGACCCGCCCCAGGAGCGGCCTCTGGTGCGCTGGCCCTCGGGGGTCTCCGGCGGGGCCAGAGGCCCCCCTCGGAAGGCAGGCCGGCACTGCCGCGCCGCAGGCAGGCGATCGGCAGGCCGCGCAGCAGCGGCCGCTCCTGCCCACTGGGAGGGGCGCGGGTGCTGCTGAGAGGACAGAGGGGCCTGTCCAGGCAGGCCGTGGTGGGTCCGTTCTGGTCCACCCCAGCTTCTGAGTGGGGTTGCAGGTGCCATGGCCCAGGCGGCTCGGCAACATTCCGGGCCAAGTGGGCGGAGCCCGCTCGGCGGAGTGACCTGCCCCCCTGAGCTTCCAGGGGCATTTGCAACCCACCTATGTGCAGATTAGGTCGAGCCAGATGTAGTCCACCTTTGCCTCCACTGCTGGGCCCCCTCTTCCCGTGGCACCCCCCGCGTCCATCCTGGTATAGGGCCACTCTTGCGTGTGGCCGGGGAGGTGGGCGACGCGGCCGCGCCCGTGCTCGTGGCCGACTGGCCGGTCGCCCTCCTTGCGCTGAACGCCAACGATTTGCACTGCGGACTGACGTCCGCCAGCGTACCGCTGGCACTTACTCGGAACCTGGAACACATACATTACCAGTGGCGGGCTGTTTTTCAATCCCAGAACTATTTGAGGGTCGGGGACGACGTCGGAGTGGTGTGGTGTATACTATTTTCCCCGTTTTCCAGGGGAAACGACGAAAAATGTATACACCAGGGTCCCGTATACACCAGAATCCGCTCTCCTGTGCAAGGTCCAGTGCGGGGCCGCAAAAAGTGTCGGTGTATAGAGTTCGGTTCCTTCCTTACCAGCCTGAAGCGTACCCCTATCCTTGTGATTTACACTACCTGGGCTCGGCGTCGATCTTGACGACTTTTTTTATCTTAAGGGGCAACCCTGAGATTGACCATCGTCTCGGGCTGGTCGATCTTTGGGATAGGGATAAGTTTCGAGGCTAGTTAGGCACCCTGGTTCGTGGTCTCGCTGATCCCGAAGACCCGAAAGAACAGCACGAGCATGAACTTTTGGAGGCCCGCGCCGATTTCCCAGACCACCTCGCGTCGTGAACAAAGCATGACGGACGTGTTTTTGTTGCCATGTTCGGCCTCTGGGGACCCTTGCCAGGCCCTGGGACCACCTCGCGTCGTGAACAAAGCATGACGGACGTGTTTTTGTTGCTATGTTCGGCCTTTGGGGACCCTTGCCAGGCCCTGGGACCGCCAAACAACGACTCACAACGAAAATCGGGGTCGGAAAAGAGGGGGGTGATGACTAGGGGGGGGTGGATATCGTGGCGGGGGCCATGATATTTTCCCAGATTTCATGGCGCCCCTTCTTGTTTCATTACGTCCCCAGCCCCCCCGCTGGGCCGCGCACATGCCGCCGGTCATGATTTGCGCCCCCCCCTCTTGGACACCCCCCTCTTTGCCGCTCCCTCTTGGGGAAGGGGTCGAGACCTCTCGGCGCGCCGGACCGGCCGTGGCGTCGGGGTCCCTGCGCGCCCTGGGCCCCAGATCTCCGAGGGCCTGTCTTTGCACCCGCCCGGGCGCGTGCCCTGGATTCGGACCTCCGGGGCCCGGAGTCGGGCCCCCTGGACAACCTCCTCCTCCTCCTCCTCCTCCTCCTCCTCCTCCTCCTGCGCACGCAGTAGGCGCTCATGAGATCCCCACGAGCCCCGACGGAGCAAGGCCTCCGTAAAACAAAAACCTCGGGAGAGCACCCATCAGGACGACCTTTTTGTCACCCTCGACTGGGGGCGCCATCCAGCCGAGGGGCCAGCGACAGGGTGCTCTCCCCGAGGGGGAGGGCGGCCTGGGTCTGGGCCCTGACCGCTTCTCTCCGGACTGGCAGGGTTCCAAGCCTCGGTGAGGAGGATCCACTCCTTTCCTTGCTTGTACTTGCCCTGCTCAAGGCCTCGCAAAACGCGGCTGCCCCAGACAGAGGGCACTGGCGGGCATGGATCGCGAAACTGCTTGGACACGGTGACTCCGCCAGCACCGCACAGGGCGCACACCACCCCCCGCCTCCCCCCCGCGAGAGTAAAGGGAAAGGCTCGATGGGTGGCGTGACCCTCTCTCCTCAGGACCGCGATCGCAACATCGGCACGACTTTCAACCGACGAGACCACGGGAGGAGGAGGAATTACATGCAACCTGGGCACATCAGTCCTGAGAACCCTGGCACGCTTGGACACGGGAACCTGCAAACAGTCCAAATCGGCCATGGGGGGCCCACACACGCCAACCCATCGGGTCAGGGCCTGCACAACCTTAAACTGACTTTTGAACAGGTCGCGATAATGCTGAGCGACTCTGCCGTACTCAGCGGCCTGCTTGGCATACTGGTCAGCCAGCTCGTTGCCCAGCTGAGCCCTGGCTGAGAGACGACCCGAGGTGACGTCGGCACGAGAGGCGTGCGCCTTAACTTTGTTAAGGCGCAGCGCGTCGAGACCACCTCTGTCTTCAACGGCATGCCAGACAAGCTTCCAGATGTCGGCCCACGCAGCTTTGGACGAGCAACAAAACTGCCGCCCTCGATTCCAGACGCCTTGGACAACAACATTGGAGTCGGTCCAGAAGACGGCACCAGGAAGGGCCTGCCTAAGGCCCATGAAAAACGCCCAAAGCTCGCACGCATCGATGTCAAAGTGCCCAGCTGGGATACCACCAGCCACCACCGCGCGCTTCGCTCGAGAGACAGGGAGGCTCGGATCATCGTGCAAGGAAACGATGGCCCAACCTAGCGAGCGCGCGGTGTGCGGGAGCTCGGAATCAAAGAGACTCCCGTCGAGAAAGCAATCTCCTCCTAGCTGATCGGGTGTTCCGAAGAGCCAAAGTTCTTCGGGGGGGTTGGGTCGGGGCGGAGGAGGAGCAGGCAGCGGCACAAGCAGCCTCTCGAGGAGGAGACGAACGAGAGGATTACCTGCTGCTGCTACCATGGCTTGCGTGCACGCTGGAGGCTCCTGCTCAAGCTCAAGCAAGTCCTGATGGGCAGCGCATCCAACGTGCCTATGCAGGAGGGTCCCTGGGGCTGAGGCGCAGACCTGACACTCTTGCTGAGACTGCAGACCAAGCTGATATTGTCTGTCTTGCGGCCACTGGCCGCCAGAAACTACACTGACTACATAGGCCTTTTCGTGCGCTTTAAGCTTGGACATACCAGCTTTGATGGGAACCAAAAAGGGGCCTTGCACAAACTCGGGCATCTGAAGGTGGTCAGCCACCTTGCTCCAAAGCCAACTCTCGACGACGGTCTCGAGGGCAGTTTTGACCGTGCGGGGACACAAGGCTTCAACCGAGAAAACGCCCACGCTAGGGTGCTGCCACTCGAGCCCGTTCATCTTGATGCCGAGCCGCATGGCCGTGGCGACGGCGGCGGAAAAGGGACCTCTAATGGCCTGCCACGGAGAGCCGTGCTCTTGAAGTCTCTGCCTCGCACCTTCGAGGCCTTGCTTCACCACCCCACTAGGAACCCACCCGTCCCAGAGCGAGGTGGCGATAGAGAGAAGAGGAGAGACGTTGAGGTGGCACGCAGGATCGATGCGAGGAATGCCAGACAGCTGCAGCATAAGGGTGATCGAGCGTCCTGACACCCTCTGCGACTGCACGGTAGCCTGATGAAGACGAGCCTGCGCGAGCTCACGTCCGTTGCTGCCCATCACCCCCGACCCGTAAGAGGTGGGGGCCTGAGCGGCGGCACGAACCATGTGATGCGCCCGCCTTTTACACAGCTTGCTAGACAGATTGAGGATCTTTTTGTGACGCACCTTCGCGGCAGTGAAACGTCCTGACTTGGCGTGTCTCTTGATCGCGCCTCCTGCAGCATAATCGATGCCAAGACTGCGCTCACTCTGTGCACCAAGCACACACTTGGCTTTGAGCGCAAGGGCTAACTGCGAACGAAGCTGAGGACAGGAGGCGAGCACACGCGACTTATGTTTGCTGACTGGAAGATGTACGGCACTCAACTCTTGATGAAGCAAGCGCGTGGCTTGCACCAGTGTGTCTCGCACTTGCTCAGAGGATCCGACCTTGTGCAACCCCGAGTCATCCACCACCACCCCGATCTGAACCTCTCGAGCTGTGCGAAGAGGGAAGGCTGCTTGCACCGTGTCAAGCGGGGCGAGCAGCACTAGCTGCAGCATGAGGGTGGCAAAATGACAGCCTGGAAGCACCGCTTTCTCGGTGCAGATGGGGGCCGAGGTGGCCCCAGCATGGTCCAGGACCCGCGGAGCCCGATACAGGCTCACCAACAAACGCAACTGTCGAAGGGGAAAATCCGTAGCCTGAGCCGCCTTGAGCAGCTCTCCGTGCCTTACGTTTTCAAACGCTTTGTCAAGATCTAACAGGACCGTGCCAGCGAAGAGGTTGCGTCCCTGGGCCCGCTCGGCGAAGGCAGCTTGAACCCACACAAGCCGATCCGACCCCCCCCCCCCCCGAGTCGACCACCAGAACTCACGAAAGTCCTGCTGCTGCCAACGCCGAATGAGGGGACGGCGGAGTCGTCCTTGGACCCTGGACGTGACGTGCATTAAAGCTATGGGTCTTAATCCGCCTGTGCGTTTCAATATGAAGACTATATTTGACCACAACTGTGGCCACTCGAAGCTACTCTCGATGGTGAATATTAGCTGGCGAAAACACTCAAGGCCCTCGTCTGGCAACTCGAGCAACTGACGGGGCGAAATATGATCGTAACCAGCGCCGCTGCTGGCTCGAAAGCTGCGGAGACACGTTTTGAGATCGTCCAAGTCGAAAACAGGCAGCTCAGGGCCCATATCTGACGGCCACAAAAACGGATCGGCCAGGGACCCCACCTCCTAATACGCCCCCCACTCAGAAACCAAAAGCGCCATCTCCTCTTCCTGACTGGCTGGGGCTGGCGGCAGCGAGCCGTCATGTCTAAAACTGGGGCTGCTGTGCCATGGGGTGGGAGGCTTCGAGAGATTGAAAAGGGCTCCTCCGCCTGCACTGCTGTGAGACTTGACCCAGCTCTTCCAGCTGGCGTCCCTGTGCTGCTCGGCCGCGCGCTGATGCTTGGATGAGAGCTGTCTGGCATGGTTGGCGAGCTCCGCCGAAAGCTCCCAGGAAAGCGAGGGGGCGGTCCAGAGCAGAGTAACCCAAGGCTGCGCACTGGCATCGGTGAACTTGCACCCTTGCTCGGCGAGCTTCTCACACAACGACAAAGTGGTGCGACGATACGACGCGGACTGAAACTTGCCGAGCTCGGTAAAGACTTGTGTCACAAGCCTCCACCACGCGGCGAAAGGCGAGAGACGCGGATAGGGCATGGCTGACGGCTTGCGCGCGGCAGCACGCTTGCGTTGCAAAGGCTTGGCCCTACCCTGGTACAGGTACGCCTCGTCACTGCTGATCTGGTAGATGTCAACGAACTCGAGCTCCATAGTATGCACAAAGCTCTCCCACAACTCTTGAGTGCTCACCTGTGCAAGCGCCAGCTCCGTAACTGACTGCCAGCGGGTGCTTTCTCGCATGGGTCCTTGAGGCCGTTGGCGAGGGAACATGCGAGGCACGCGAATCTGCGGCAGCGTGGGGACTTGTCGCAGTCCCTCAAGAGACAAAAGAACTGGATAATGCGGCGTGGTGCCAACGTCGGTGAGCACGGCGAGCTTGTGACGATACTGCAGACCCTCCGAGACAATGAAGTACTCCAGTACCCTGCCTTTTCCACCCGTACACGTGGCTAACTGAGGGGAAAGAATGTGTCCAGAGACGGCCTCGACCCATCCAGAGCCGACAAGCTCGCCGGGGCTCAAATTCCAATCTCTTGAAAGAATAAACGGCATGCCGAACTGCCTGATGACCGCCCCCAGCTTGCACAAAAGATCCCAATTGAGCGCTGACAAACCCTGCGAGTCGTGCATGTACACTACTGCCCATAGGATGCCTCCAGGCACGACTCCTGACATGTGCCTGACTGCAATGCGCGCTGGCTCAAGAACTGGAGCTTGACCAATTAGCAGCGAAAGTCCGTGCCGCTGCTGAACCATCTGAAGGAGACCACCTGTGGTGCCTCCCTGCCCTGTATCTCTGGCTGCGGTAGCCGAAGCCTTCCAGCCCATGTGTCGGAGCCTCTGCTCCCAGCCTGCGCACTCGATGAAGTGATGCTCCTGCACGCCAACAGCGTCTGCATCGATGACTGACTGTGAATTGAGAATGGTCTCTAGCCCTGCACGGCCTGAGACATTAGCGGTGACGAAGGACCACGTGTTAGGAAGACGAGTCAGCAGCCGACGTCTTGGCCTTCTTGACCGCGTGCTCCTGCATGGCCTGCAGAAGACTGGTGTAGAGGGCGCGACCGACCTTGACCTTCTTGGGCTCCCCTTCGTCGGCACCGTCGTCGTTGTCGGCCCCCTCGTCACCCATGGCGTCGTCGTCACCACTGACTGGGATGCCCTGGGCCTTGAGGAAACTGTCGAAGAACTCGGGCTTGCCGAAATGCTCCCAGAAAGAAGCATCTGGCACGCCAGACACACCAGCACCCGCAGGAGGAGACTGCTCCTGTTGCTGCTGCTGGTGCTGCTGCTGCCGTACAGCCTCGGCCTCCTCATCGGCGCGCTGCTTGTCCATCTGCTGCTTGACAAGGTCAGCGATGGGCTTGAGCGCGGCGGCTGCGTCAGGCAGCATGTCTGAAAGGGAGGCGGCGAGGGACTGCATCTGTGCGAGCGGGTCAGCGGCGGCGGCCGCACGGCCGCCGACGGCTGCATAGGCGGCGGCGGCTTTGCTGGCGGCCTCGTCTGCCTTGGCCTTGCACTCAGCCAAGTTGGTGGCGCACTGCTGCATATGCTGTATGGCTTTGGCCGCCGCAGCCGCTGCCTTGTCATACTTACTCTGGGCCTGCTCGAGCTTCTGCAGAATGGCGTCGGACGCCTGTCGAGCAGCACGCGCCGTGGGCAGCACATCCCCATTGGAAAGACTGCGAGCCGCGGCAACTCGAGACAGTTGCTTTGCAGACCACCCCTGAGACACGATGGCATAGTCTGCGAGATCCATCTTG